AAGTATTAACCCCCCTGCCATATTGCCTTGTCAGATCAATGCCACATGCACTTTCTGAGCAGCACTTCAAAACGTACGAAGAAGTGGAAAATTTGGTCTCTGAATGGTTTGCCTCAAAACAAGAAAAGTTCTAGTGGGACGGTATCCACAAATTACTTGAAAGATGGAGGAATGTGTACCTAGCAATGGACATTATTTTGAATAAAGCACTTTTGATGTTTCTCTTGATATTACTGTGTTTTCTTTGATTACAAAAATCCACCATTATTAACCGGTATACCTAGTAGATCGTTGGTATGGAAAATGCAGTAGAAATAGCTGGAAATAGCTTTGGTGGGCCCACAAGTTGGGTAGAGCCAGGGCCTCAAGGAATCACCAGGGTGGACAAACAGTGTGAGCCAGGTTGATGGAGTCTCAGATATGGCACCTGCCTGCCAGCTCTGTCTGTGCATGGGTTTATGGTGGTGGTGGTGGTGGTTGTGGTGGGGAGGTGGCTCAGAAAAGGAACAAAGGCCTTTGCCAATATTTACCCTGATGATGACAATTCAGTTCCTACTGTCCCAGTGTTGGAGCTCAGAAGGAGTGAATCTGAGTAAGTTTGTGCACTAGCTCTTTAAGAGGATCTGCCTGGCACTCTAGCAGCCTCTGTCAGCCTCAGTCCCTGCTGTTTGTTTGTTTGTTTACTTTAATTAAGTTTTTTAGAGAGAGAGATAGAGAGGAAGAGAGAGTGTGGTCTTACACTTATTTATGCAGTCATTGGTTGATTCTTTTATCTGACCAGGGATGGAACCCCCATCATTGGTGTATGGGGACAACACTCCAACCAAATAAGCTTCTCAGCCAAAGCCAATCCCTGCTGGGTTTTACAGCCAGAAGTTATGGGGACCTCTCCTCCTGGCACTGGAACCTTGGTTGGGAATCCTGGTGTGAGGCTGGGTCCCTTGCTCCTGAGGGGGGACCTCCACACAGCTCAGATATCCCTCCTAATTTTTATCCGCCACCTGTGGGTGTGGGATCAGCCAATTCCTTGTCTCTGTCCTTCCTACCAGTCTTGATGTGGCTTCTTTAATTCCCTAGTTGTAGCACTTCCTTTCAGCCAGCTTTTAGGAGGTTCTGAATGATGGTTGTTCTATAGTTTAGTTGTAATTTTGATGTGGTAGTGGGAGGAGGTGAGTACTCCGTGTTTACCTACACTGCTATCTTGACTGGAAGTTCAGATTAGTATATTTTTAAAAGAGTATTATGCTGAATAAACATGTATTTCCCAGCATAGCAGGTACTATTGAAAAGGATTTAAAGAAGACTTGGAATTAGCATGTGTTTATATAAATTGTCCAGAGAAGCAGAGAAGAAAATTATTTGCTCCATCACAAATTGATTAGTTGCCTGAGTATAATTGTTTGTTTGACTTGGGGATGGCTGTATTTTTACTGTTCGTGTGTGTACTTGGGACGTTGTAAATGTTATCAAGTACCTCAGACTCGGAATGAGCCAGTAATTTTCCATTCTTAAAATAACTAGAAAATCAGAAGGTTTTTTGGTATCAGTGTACAGCCAGACTAAAGGCTATGCTGAACAAATGAAAGCAGAGCACTTTTCTAAGCAAGCTTCGCTTGATTTGGTTCCACTTTTTATTTTATTTTAACTTTTATTGATTGATGAGAGAGGAGAGAGAGAGAGAGAGAGAGAGAGAGAGAGAGAGAGAGAAAAGTGAGCCACCCTACCAGGACTGGTTCCTCTTTTTTGGCCCTCTCGTGGGCATCAATTCTGAATGACACTCAAATAGGAGTTCTTAGATTTGAGAAATGAATTTTTATTACATGGGTTAAGAATGAACAACAGACATAGGAGCACCTGAGACTGGTCTCTCATGTTTGTTGAATCAGCCCCAGGGCTGGACCTTACCTGAGGCAAGCTTGGGGCTCTTATCTTTCAACCCCAGCAAAGTGCATCTATGCAAGATTGCTGATTTCCTGGTTAGTTTTACTGATTTGCCCCAGGGAATGGCCCCAGCTTGCAGAAGCTGTCAGTGGCTGTCATTACACACCTTCCCCTTCCAACTTTCACCCCAACCAAAAGCAGGTATTCCCTCCAGATCACCCGTGGGGACGTGAATAGCAATGGCATTGGTGTTCTCTCTCTCTCTCTCTCTCTCTCTCTCTCTCTCTCTCTCTCTCTCTCTCTCTCTCGTTTTACATTAAC